TTAAGAAATTGATTCACCAGTTAAAGTAATCAAGACCTCAGTTTAATTAGGCATCTGAAGGTTGGAACCTCCGACATCTGAGTGTTCCCTATCACCATACTGGGGCACTGATTTGGAAAGACTGGCCCAGAACAAAGAGCGCCACCTACTGGTCCACCAACACCACTGACAGCAGCAGCCTGGTTTTCCTTGGCAGTCTCCCACCCTGGACCTTGCTCACCTTCCAGGATTTGACAAGATCAGGCAGTAAGAATTGTTTAGAAAACTTTCCCTCTTCAAGGCATCGTGTGCTTGTATCACACTTAATATTCCCAGATTGTGGTGGCATCTGTTTCACCATGCTTTGTTCCCTGAACTCCTGACCATTTACCTGCTACTTCTAGCAGGTTCGTGGTCCCTTTTTAAGCTCAGACAAGCTGAGGGGCTGAACCAGAGCAATTGGACTTAAATCCTGTGCACTTCTAAATGCTGAAATTATACGGGACGTTTCCATTCCATGATTTCTTCAAGGAGTTTACCAAAAACAAGATCACTTAAAAACAAAATACAATTTGCTTGGTGCCCAGGCATCCTGTAAAAATGAGGCTGACTGTGATGTGTTGATGAGGTTTTTCTTCAGTTGAAGTGCGAAATGAGCACCCAGATTAGAGACAGAAAGAAAGGGTCCCACCACCTGTTGTGCAAGGAGGTGCATGAGCTGTTCTTCTTCAGGCAGGTGCACGCCAAGGCTGCCGCAACCCGCGGCGGCAGCTGACACTTCCTGCCACGGTCACGCCAGCTGCACAAAGCCTCTCTGTTGTCCCTTGTCCGCGCGCGCACACACACACTGCCCTCCTTTCATCCCCTCCATTTCATCTGCAGTGACAAAACAATCAAAACAATCTGGACCCCCGGGGCCCACCAGGGGCCACCAGGGGGCCCCAGGCTCCTTTGTCCTGCTGAAGCTGCGCAGGATCAGAGCGCAGGAGCTGCTGGCTGGCTCACAGACACGGGCCTCGCTGACGTCTGCAGGGCCCTGCGCACTGCTGGCAGCGACCAGAGACCAGAGTGGATTCCTGGACACTGAGCCAGAGCAAGTGCTCCCTGCTTCTAATCCCGGCTCAAGCCGTCATGGCCACGGCGTGATTAACATGTTTTGGTTTTCAGGCACAAGAAGGGAAGAACGCTTGCGAGAGCCGTTTTTGGTCAAGCCTGTCTTGTGCAAGCAAACATGTCATCCGTTAAGAGACGGGAATCTCAAGTTTCCCTTTTTAAAATCACACCAGCTAGATCTCTAGCCTTCGGATGTCTTGCGGCCCAGGCAAATGACAAACTCTGTCCCTGACACTGCGATGAGCCCTGCGTGAAAGCAACGGAGAGGAGATCGGGTGCAGACTGGCAGCGGACGCCTTTGTCCTGCTGCCGTGGGGGGAAACTTTGGAATGGGAAACGGACGCTGTGCGGAGAGCGCTGGGAAGGAGGTAACGGAGAGCCGGCTCGTTCCGCTGAGTGAGGTCTCTTTCCTTTCCCCCCTCCGCAGGTCTTCGTGAAAGAGCTGATGGAGAGGCTGCAGGGGCTGCAGAAGCAGGAGGAGCTACAGAACGATGGCATCGAGCACCCGCACTGAGGCTCACTGCCCGGGGCAGGAGGAGAGCTGCGCCGCCTCTCCCAGCGCCCCCAGCGGCCAGCGGCGACAGGAGGAATAGCCACACGCAGGAGAGACTCTACTAACAGGAAGCAAAACTGATCCACTCGTAACCCTCTGTCTGTATATAATCCACACCACACGCTTTCAGCCACTTGACACGTAGTCAGTATTCCCTGGTGCTGCCGCAGTGCCACTGGCTTCTCAGCCTCACACTGTTTTTACATAACGTTGGAAGGGTTAAAGGGATGGTCAGTTTCACCTGCAGTTCCCTCGTTATGCCGGGTTAAGCTTGTTTCAGTCCCAGGACTGCCCTTTCCCAGGGGCGCCCTGGTGTTAGAACAGAATGTGCAGGTTTTGCCAAAGATTCTGATTCGGATGTGAGCTGTGTGCGGCAGCCCTGTGGCTCTTTTGGATCCCTGGATCCCTAGAAGTTCTGAGAGGCCTATGGTATTAGGAAGGCTCTGAGTGACCAGGATTCCCACAATATTGGGTTAGGGCTGGGATTAGTTAGCCAGTATCTTCTTGGACCTCATCAGTGACACTAATTTGCCTCGACCTGCAGGTTTGCAGTGATGTCTCTCCTGCTGGGCACTGTGCTGCTCCAGACAGCCTGCCAGATCCTCTTCCAGAGTCCAGAAACAATTGGGTTGGCATCTCCAAATTGGGTGTGTGTGGATTTGGCACGATTATTTTCTTCCCTACCAGATGATTTCCCAGAATAAGTTTCAGCAGAACTTCCTCAAAACCCGCATTAGCAGGAAAAACAGGTCACAGCACCAATCAGCCTAGACCAGGCAGCAGGAAGAAAACGCAGAGAAAGACGACAAAAGTAACGAATATGAAGTTTAGCAATCCAACAGGAAGTGACACTACTTTTTTCCTCGGCCTCGCCAGTATAACTTTGATCTGTGAACCTCACTGAGTCGCTTCTTGAAGTATCGCAGTCAGATTTCGTCGGCAACGATGTGCCTCCTTTCCTGGGGCTTGGGCTCGGAGCTTGACGTGAGATAGCAGGGGAAATGAGAACATAAGGAAGGGTACATCATACGAGAGGAACCATTCAGCCCGCATGGCCTGTTCGGTAGTTAGTAGTTAATTGATCCAAAGATCTCCTGCCACAGACTCCTGATAGAAGCCAGGGTGTCCAGTTTAACAGCATGGCTGGGCGGCATGTTCCAGACTCCCACTCTGGGGAATGAGGGCAGGGAGCAAGCTTGACACGAGATAACTGGGGGAAGTAAGGGGTGACAGCCACCATTCCTGCATGCACAGACTTCACCGTCCTCTCCAGGTGTTCCAAAAATATCCCAGAAAGCCTCAGCCTGCGATGAGGCGGCGACTCCCCCTGACAGAGAAGCACAGTCGATGTACGTGGTGGTCCGGAAGGATCGGGGCTCCGGTCCTGGCAGCAGTGATGGGAAGAAGATCAGTTTCCGGGGAGCACAGGGTTTCCTACATCCTGGCCTGTGTTGCAGGTGTGCAGTGGGGGGGTGTTCATGTCTAACCTGGTGTTGCCAGGTGCCAGAAGCGATGGTTTGCGCCGCGGTGGACGTCTTCGAAAGTTGCCTTCAGTGCGGGCTCACCCTTCAGTCACCACAGCTCTCCGCTGTTCCTGCATCGCCAGCATGCGTCATGAACACCCAACATGAACATGCATCACGAATACACATCACACGCACCAGGAACATGCGTCATGATTGTGCGTCATGAGCACACATTATAAACACGCATCATGAATGTGTTATGAACATACATCTGTAACTACACAAGGCATTGTGATCTCTGTGTGTTGCGGTGGAGTATGGAAGTTATAAGATCCTTTTCCCCAACTCCCCGTTTTAACCCCATAACCATCGCATGCTGTGTTTGACCCGTCTCTCACCTCCGCGCCTGTCCTGCGTACATTTTGATTCCTGATGTAAACCATCGGTTCGTTTCAGAATTGTTTTATACTGTGTGTTTTTTTCCTAATAACAGTTTTGATATGATTTGTAAATGGATTTATTTGAATGCTTGTTTTTTGTATATTCTTTGAAATAAAGGAGAGTTACTATTGCACCATGTATCCATATCCTTGGTTAGGTTAGAAAGGATTTCACAGCTGCTGTGTTTTTGTGTGGAATCGACCCATGGAAAGTATTCAAGGGTTGATTGAAGGGTGGGTTCAGCTCAATGATGGACAGATGTTTGCCCGTTATGCCTTCCAGGATGTAGGGGCAGCAACATCCTGTTACTGTTACCATAACATTCCTTTTTTGCGGGACAGGGCTGTTAGCTTTGTGCCCAACCTCCAACAGGGAGGACCTGGAGCCCGATGTGGGACACGAACCCACTACCCTGAGATTATGAGTCTTACGCTCTGCCAGCAGAGCTAGTCGGGGCCCTCAGCTGGATGAAAGAGGAGAAGAACATTCTCTTTGATAAGAGGGCTTCAGCGACTAAGCTGTTTCGCTTCTGCCGAGGTTCTGCAATGAACAAGCACACCAGCACACCACGGTGTTATTAAGGAAAATATATTCCCAGGCAGCTGTCAGAAATGCAAAGATCCTCGAGTGGTGACCAGCGGTATCACAACAACAAAAGTAAAATTTCCCCGCTGTGTTGCAAGATCAAGGATGTAAAAGAAGCAAAAAGGAAGTGAACTTTCAGGCCAGACTGCATTCCTTCCACGGGCCACCGGAATGCAGACAGAAAGAACGTGGAGTTTCTTGCAGTTCCTGTCTGTAATCTTGGCATTTTATCCAGTCCTTTCCCAGTCCTTTGCTGTGCCTTACTGCACTGCGCTCTGTTTCTGCCATGGTGGACTGTAAGAAAGGTTTAAAAATAAGGACTGCATCTCACCTCTTTAGAAAAAGATGAGCAGTAGAGCCCAGCCCACCTCCTACTCTCCTGCCTTCCCAGTCCTGTCCAGCCTATCCAGTTTATCCCAGCCTGACTCCAACCAGGCCAGCTCGAGCTCACTCCAGCACAGTCCAGTCCAGCCTGCCTGGCTCAGCCCAGTCCAGTTCATCTGTCCTGGTTCAGTCCAATCCAGCCCTGTACAGCTGTCTGGTTGGATCCAGTTCAGTCTGATCAACTCTGGCCCAGCCATGACACAACTGTCCGGTCGGATCTGGTCCAGTCTGACCCACTCTGACCCAGCCCTGACTAAGCTGTCAGTTTGACCCACTCTGGCCCAGTCCTGACACAGCTGTCCAGTCCAGTCTGACCCAGTCTGACCCACTCTGGCCCAGTCCTGTCCAGCTGTCCAGTCCAGTCTGGTCCAGTCGGACCCACTCTGGCCCAATCCTGACTCAGCTATCTGGTCCAGTAAGGCCCAGCCTGCAGGCGCTGGGAGTGTCAGCAGACGAGATGCAGGGTGATCCCACAAAACCCAGCACACCTTCCAGCCAGCCGAGAGGCAGAGGTCCTCTGCGGTCAGCATGCTTCACTCGTCATAAACTGCAGGACGCACGCAGCCGCTTGGCAGGAGTACCGCCCAGACGACAGCATGAGAAACACCAGGCCTGGACAAGTAATAGGTGTATTCCATGCTGAAAAGAGAAGAAAGAAAACACGTTTGGGCTGTGGAGCCTTCTTCAGGTTTGAGGAAGTAGGGTCCACAGCCGAAATGTGTTTTCTTTCTTCTCTTTTCAGCATGGAATAAACCTCTAACTTGTTCTTTTGCAGCTATATTTTTTGTTGTGTTACGGTGTTAGGGTTCGTTAAGTTAATACGAAATCCATCCAACTTGGACTCATGTGCCGACGCACTGATTTGTTATACAACGGCTCCACCTCGTGGCAAAAAACATATAAGTGTTCTGCTCCGGAGATGATGCGTCTTATCCGGCAGATCAGACCTGGCAAGAGAGTTAACGTGGTGCAGTTGGTGAAATAATTAACAGATGCGGGCAATTAAGAGATCAGGTGGAATGACAACTACAGAAGCCTTTCACCGGGGAGGCCTGCAGCTGTGAATATCAGTTCACGTCCGTTCAAATAAGTCTCCCAGGCGCGACGAATTTCCGCAGTAATTCTGTTTTCCCGAACG